TTGTTTACCCTTTATTATATTATTTTCTTTCCTTAAATAACCTTAAATTCCGTTAGTATAAACTTTATTAACGGAATATTCCGTTAACTATTTATTATTCTTAACTTACTTATTAATTTCTATAAGAAAGGTCTTAAGTTCGAACCCTATTCCAATTAGAGTTAGCATAATAATTGTTAAACATATACTACGAATATGTTAAAATGTATTAAAAATATAATATAAAATTTAACATAAATTTTGGTCAAATAATTAGCCCGACTAAATACATAGCATTCAATGATTATAAATCAGGAACTTTGAAAATCATTTGATTTTTTTCATTAAAAAAAATAATAAATTTAAGTTTAGTTTTTTTTTTTTGTTTAATTAATCTTCTTTTGATTATTGAGAACAAAACTTAATATTTCAATTATGCTTTTATCAATGCATGAAAACTTTTAAAGAAATTTGTAAGTTAATTTTAACTACATTATTATAATAATATCTATTGTAATCTTATATTTTGAATTATTTATTATCATCATCTATTAACAGCAATTGTCATTGACAAACTCTCAAAACAATTTGTCTCAACAACGAATGGAAATAAAAAAAAAAAAAATCAATGATTTCATTATTGTTGATGAAAAGTATGTACGCCACTTTATTCAATTGTTATGCTGTGGAACTGTGTCCTCCTTGCAATGTGGACACGGCTCTATGTTCATAATTACTGAATTATATGTTTATAATTATAAAGTTATATATTTATAATTTTTGAACTTCATATTCATAATTATTGAACTTTATATTCACAATTATTGAACTCTATATTCACAATTACAGAACTCTATGTTCATAATTACTGAATTATATGTTCATAATTATAAAGGTATATATTCATAATTTTTTAACTTCATATTCACAATTATTGAATCTCTATATTCATAATTACAGAACTATATGTTCACAACTCTATGTTCATAATTATAGAACTATATGTTCATAATTTTTGAACTATATATTCATAATTATGAACAGTTTTAGAATCATGTCCACCTTGCAATGTGGACACGGTTCCATAGCATAATTTGCCCACTTTATTGCTCTTATTACTTAAATTTAAAAATAAATTAGTAGCTACAACAAAAAATAATACATATGCATTTAATTAATTTAGAATTAGATGTCTCACAACACATGAAACATGTAGGGAAAAATTATCACTATAAAATATCAACATGTTCTTGTAAGATAAAAAGTTCATAGCACAACTAAGATCTCAGTCATATACACAACAAGACAAATCTAAAACTTCATACACCATAATCTCATTGCATGATGAATTCCTCTATGATGTCACCAATAACCCAATTGCACATGACACACTACCAATAACAGAAAAAAAAGGACATGTATTGAAGATGAAAACAATAACAATGTTACCCAAAAGAGAATTAGAAATTTAAATAAAAAAGAGTATTTAGTTAGACTATCGCTTTTAGACTTAGTACTTACATTAACGTTATTACAAAGTTGCAAACATTTATTTTGGTGACAGTTATATATAATCAATCTCTCATGTATTATCTTGCATTTATATACTTTAAATTACCGATTTAAATAAACAAATTCAATATTTATTTACTTATACATGAACATCTTCTATATAATATTGCATTGATATACTTTGAAATACTTATTTAAAAATAAGTATTGGGCATTATCTTATTCGCGCAAAACGCATAGAAAAACTAGTAAAATAATAAGGATAAAGATGAAAAAAAAGTTGGAAAGCTTCTAGTCTATTCTTGACAACACCAACTTATTAGCAAATTAATTAACTGAGTTAGTTTATGCTCAAGAGAGATGGTACAATTTTGGAACACATGAAAATTGAAATGATTAAACTTTGATAAATTACGTACAAAAAAGAATTTGACAATTCCAACATGCATGCATTTAACTTTTCAAGATAAGCTCACACTCCCACTAAAGGCTAAAAATCATCCACCACTTACGTTTGGTTCGCTAGAAAATATTTGAAGGGACATGAAATTGAAATTGCATGGAAAATAAATTCCAAATTAAGAAAATAGATTCCATTGTTTGGTTGGTGGAAACGAAATTACTGGGAATATGAATTCCATTGTTTGGTTGAGTTGAAATGGTAAAGAATAATAAGTATAATGACAAATATAACTCTACACAATAATAATAATAATAATAATAATAATAATAATAATAATAATAATAATAATAATAATAATAATAATAATAATAATAATAATAATAATAATAATAATAATACGAGTAATTAATAAAGAATGGTGAGGGTAAAGTTGTCATATTATTTTTCCATGGAAAACAAAATACCTAGAATGAGCTAGGAATTGATTTTCCTCATTCTTAAAGAAAATTTTTTCTAATAAAAAATATTTTTCATCCAACCAAACAACATTAAACATCATTTTCCTTCACAATGAGGAAAACATTTTCCATGAAAAATGTTTTCATCCAACCAAACACTCTCCAATTGAGTCCCGACTATTGCTTTCATGCTGTCATTGTGTTTTTTCAATATAAAATATTGTTTTTAGGGTGAATATATTCTAGTGATATAAATTCTTTAGGAGAATATCATTCTTTAAGAAAAATAGTTGATTTATAATTTTATTTATAATTTTGGGCATATATGCATACTAGTTAAATAAAGTGTATTGCACAATTAAATAAATGTCCAACAATAAAAATTATAAAATTACATTAACAATACAAATAGAGAACTACTATATATGATTTAACATACTATACAAAATAACTCTATAGTATATTAAGTAATGAAAGTCCTCATATTCAATAATTTACACTATCAAATACGGAGTAATTATCTATAGTTATACAATATTTTACTTTATTTTATTAAAACTTAAAGAAATAAAAGAGAAAAATAATAATATTTTTTAACCATCACAATTTTTGAATTAAAAGTTTTAGAACCATGCTAGAAGTCCCTACAAAAATCATTACATTTTTGCCTCTCCTTTATATTAGAATAATGTTCTTTAGATTTTGATGATTCTAACGAAATGGAAAGTATTTTAGGATCTCCAAAACTCTATTGTAATAACTCTGTTTAAGAGGATAATTTGTAAAGGCCAAAATAAGACAGTATATTCGTTCAAAATTCTATCCATCATATTTTGTCTAAATGATCCCATGAGCAGTAGATCTTGATGCAGTGATCTATTGGTCTCGGTTAGATGGTGAAAAGTCTAGAGGGGAGGGGGTGAATAGACTTTTCAAGCAATTTAAAATTTATAACACTTTATCAAAATAACTTCAAATAAATCAGATTAATGAAAATCAAACTTAGAGTGAACATCGAAATACATGTACGTAAAGTGCTATATTCAAAGATGAAGAATTAAATAGATATTTAACGCATGCAATACGTTAGAAATGTATATGAGTTGGGTGTGAGAGCAAATACCATGCATGCAATGTAAAATATATGTGAGAGCAGTAAGTAAATGAGAGAGAGAGAATTTTAAAGTGGTTCGACCAAACTCAGTCTACGTCCACTCTATTCCTATCTCTAGGAGGAATTCACTATATCAACCACCCATATAAAATAGTGAACAAACAAGTGCTAGTTCACCATTTTAGCATTTCTACAACCACGAGCATTTCGCACAAAGTTACACTCCTCAGTGTTTTCGCAAGCTCATCTGATTTTTATACTTTAAAGGATGTTTTCGTATTTTAATAAATAAGCTATTCCCAAAAATTTAGGAGCATATAATTCCATTTAGGTCCCCTGGAAACGGTTATTCCTTACGGAATAACTCATTTCTTGAAATAACTCAAATAAGGGAATAACTTTATTGATTTTTCTAAGTTGGAATTATAGATCCATGGGACCCTAAAGTTGGGAAGAAATTCAAACTTGTGTAAGACTAGTAACTTTACTGATTTTTCTAAGTTGGAATTATGGATCCATGGGACCCTAAAGTTTGGGAAGAAATTTCATAGTACACATTAATTCTACTACGTAAATAGGAGAAATTATATTGCCTTAGTTATTGTTTGGGAAAAGTCATTGTTGGTTTCGAACACACTATCAGATAAAACTCAAAGTAAAAAAGTTGGATCACATCCTCCAATGGTAGTGAGGATACTATACATTGATGGGGTATAAACAAAAATGTATTTTGAGAAGTGGTCTACAAAAATGACATAATAGCGAAATTCATCAATAGAGTTCTCAGTAGGTCCCCACACATCAGTATAAACAAGTTGCAAAGATTTAGTGCTAACAAGTGTATTTTTAGAAAAAGGCAGTTTATGACTTTTATGAACATTGCAGGAGGAACAGTAAAATTTTCGCAGAGATGACATGGAGACTGGAACATTACAGCGTTGCAACACAAGTTGCAACACCTTATTCAACGGGTGGCCAAGTTGTTGGTGCCACTGAGACAAACAAGGCAACTGCGTAGCATGAACTGTTTGGTGAGAGGCAACTGGTCCAAAATAGACACCATTAATGTTCACTCCCCGTAGCAGTGGAATCCCCGTTCGAAGTTCCTTGACCAGAAAATGAGAATCAAAGAATTCAACAGACACACGATTAGTCTTGCATAACTGGGAAATAGAAACTAAATTAGTGTGTAACTGTGGGACACGCAAGACATTATCTAGAGTGAGAACACTAGAAGGAGTGGGTATGACAGATTGGCCAATATGGGATATTTGTAAGGAATTACCGTCACCCAGGCGTATTTCATCTGATCCACTATACTCGGCGAAAGTCTGCAGAGGAGCGAGGCTTGGTGTCACATGGTGCGACGCCCCACTATTAAACATCCAGGGAGGAGAAGCCCTAGTCATTGAATTGGCTGTAGGAGATACATAGGATTGCACAGGAAGAACATCATGCTCCTTTTAAAATCGGGCTAGCTTGCGACACACCCTTGTTTCATGACCCGTAAGATAACAAAACTTACAGATGATACCTAAGCGATTGTGTTCCCCCCTTGTTGCCGATTAGAGCCATAATGATTGTTATTGTTGCGGGCCCTCCGGTTGGTGTTGGACTGGTGGTTGCGCCGCGGGGGTGACGAGGTGCGTTGAGTAACATTAGCAGTAGTAAAAAAGGACTGACGCAAAGCATCTGTGTCTGTCAATTGGCGTTCATGGTTAGTCAGGACATCTGCCAACTCGCCAAAAGAAAGATGCTTCTCACGAACGAGGATGGCCGATGTGATGGAACTATAATCCTCTCCTAGCTGAGTCAATACATAGACGATTAGATCTTCGTCAAATACGGGACACTGAGCCAATGCTAAATCATCAGCTATGGCTCGCATGTCATTGAGATAAGTGGTGATGGATCGAGACCCTCGCGGATTCCTCTTGACTTTGGCCTTGAGGGATATGATACGTCCTCGTGAGACACTGGCGTAACTAGCAACAAGACGTTGCCACGTATCATGGGTTGTCGTAGCCGAGGAGATAAGGGGTTGTATGGTGTCAATACAGCTCCCAAGTAGAGCACTGAAAATAACTTGGTCTTGACGATACCAAGCTAAATGAGCCGGGTTGACAGAAGTTTGAGCATGATTAGTGGATTTAGCTGGTTCCTTAGTTGTACCATCAACATAGCCAAAGAGATTAAACCCAACAAGTGTGGCATGAATTTGACGCTGCCACACCAGGAAATTCACGGTCGTGAGTCTAATTGGGAAGTGTGTTGGGGCATTTAATTGGATTATTGTGGTTGTAGTAGAGGAAGCCATTTGGAAGGGGAAGGAGAAAAAAAAAAACTTTGTAGGAGAAATTAGGCTCTTAATACCATAATAGATTATGAACTTAACTGATATTATTGATGTAAAACAATCAGCTTTAAATAGCATACAAGGAAGAGAAGATAGTAGGTAGTTAGCAGGTTGTTGTAACAACCAGTCTAATAATACTACATAAAAGGAATGCAACTAGAACTAATCATATAAAAAAGATGTCAGCCACACATATCCTTAACACGATCTGCAATGTGGTCCTTCACTGTGAATTTCATTCAATTGGGTCCCTCAAACCTTTAAAACGTAGTCGATTTGGTCTTTCAGTTAAATTTCTATTAAACTATGGTTAATACCATAGGCATAAGTGTAATTTCACAATGTCCTTAGTTACTCCATTCGCAATGTCCTTAGTTACAGATGGTGTCGGCGTGCGTCAACAACACTGGGATGTCACCGGAGAATTTCCTAGACTGTCTACCTTCCAAGTACCAGTCTTATGGCCAGTTGAGTCCTGGAACCTCATTTAGTAGTGAGGTTATGGATGATACACAATCCTTGAAGGCTTCCCGAGCTAAGCATTCATCTTCACCACCACGCGCGGCGGACAAGTGCGGTGATGAGAAGCAGGAAGATTCAGATCCAGAAGTTCTCGGCAATAATCCGGATTTCGAGTTCCAATTTGACCGTTCTGAGATTATGCTTCCTGCGGATGAGCTCTTCTCTAATGAAAAGCTGTTACCGCTTAAACTACCGACGATCCGGCTATATGGGCTACGTCGACTGCTGAGGCGGCGGGTATGGAGGTGAAGTTCTCAGATTGTCGAATGGTCCCCTTACTGTTCCAGATTCCAGTATGTGATCTCAAAAGATTTAGCAGAGAAACCATGGTAGACTTAGTTTTAATGAAAAATATTGAGTGGCATATCTAATCTGATAAAGATATTCCACAATGTTAGTAATGTTATATTTCCCATTTATTTATTATGTAACATTATAGTTGAAATAGTCCTGTAACTGATAGCTACTGTATAGGGGTAGTTAGATAGGACTTTAATCTCTTTAGTATCTCTATAACTTAGCGTAGTTTGAATTAACGATAATTAGTTTCACTCATCTGGTATCAGTAAGCTAGGTGATCCTACTCTCTCTCTCCCAAAACTATGTCGACAAACTCTAGCGAAAGAACGGTCACCGCCGCAACACCACCACCCCCCTCCACCCCAAACACCCTTGCCTCGGCTCACCATTTTATATCCATGAAGCTTACCACGAAAAATTTTCTCTTCTAGCGTACCCAACTCGTACCCTTTCTACGTGGACATGGCCTCCTTGGATTCGTCACCGGCGATACGCCATGTCCGCCGGCGACTCTTGAAACTCCGGCGTCTGGTGAAGCTGCTTCCGACGTCACGACCACGACAACGGCGAATCCGGTGCACGGCATATGGGTGCAACAGGATCAATCAATCCTGTCACTCCTCGTGTTTTCGATGGCCGATGAGGTGCTCTACCTTGCTGTTGGCCGCACGATGTCGCAAGAAGTCTGGACGTCGATCACGGCGGCGCTTGGTTCCTCAACTTGGGCGAGGTGTCTCAATCTCCTCGCTCAGTTCCAGTCGCTCAGGCAGGGCGATAGCACTCTCGCAGAATACCTCGGCCGAGCATAATTGTTGGTGGAGGATCTTGCGTTGGCCGATCGATCGGTCTCGCTTGATGAACAAAACCTCTGGGTTTTCCGAAGTCTCCGGCCAGAATTCCGGTCAATGGCGTCGTCCCTCGCGGCGTCCGGCGCACCAGTGTCGATACCTCAGCTCTCGGACTATCTCCAGGCCCAAGAGTTCATCTGGGCGGATGAGTTCTCCACTGCCGGAGGTCCATCAGGGCACACGACGATGGTTGTTGGTCACTGCTATGCACAAAACCAAGCGGCAGGCGGTGGTCCCCGGCACGCTGGTTCTGGACAGTGGCGAGGTCGGGGCGGCCGTGGACTGTGGCGGGCAAGGCAGAGGCTGTGGTAGTGGCGGTCCGAGGTGCCAAATCTGCCGCTCGCATGGGCATACCGCACTCCACTACTTCAAACGCTACGCCGGCGCACCGCAACCGCAGTCTCATGCTGCAGTTCCCGGCGAGGATGGTGCAGTCGTGGCGGACGCATGGTACCCGAACAGCGGGGCGTCGTCACACGCTACACCCGATCAGATGATGATGGCGCAATCTGATCCCTACTCCGGCGGTGATGTCCTCCGCGTCGGCAATGGATCAAGTTTGGGTATAACCAGTGTTGGCCATGCATCACTAAACTCTGTGTCTAGAACTTTAAAATTAAACAATATATTACATGTCCCCCGTCTTTCTTTACCATTATTATCGGTTAATCGCTTTGCAATTGACAATGATGTTTATTTTGAATTTCACCATGATCATTTTGTTGTGAAGGACTGTCACACCAAGGCGGTGCTCCTTAGTGGTCCTACCATGGGGGGTTTGTACAAGCTACCAATGTCTCGGCACATGTTGCGTTAATAACTGCTCGTGCGCCACCTGATATTTGGCATCGCAGGGTTGGACATCCGAATGAACGTGCCCAAAATCCGTGTCTTACAAAAATGCCCGGTCACTCAATCCAAATCAAGTGTGCCGCAGTTGTGTTCGTCGTGTCAACTCGGTAAATCGTCTCGATTCCCACTAGATAGGGTTTTTTCCTCTAACAATAATGTACTCGACTTGCTGTATACTGATATTTGGGGACCGGCACCCGTTGTTTCTGCCGGGGGTTTTAGATATTTTGTTCTTTTTGTAGACGACCACACACGTTTTTGCTGGTTTTACCCTTTGCGATTAAAATCAGATATTTATAAAACTTTTGAGTCTTTCCGTGTCAAGGTAGAACGCCAATTCTTGCGTTCTATCAAGTCCATACAGTTCGATCTCGGAGGCGAATATCGCCGTTTACACTCAATTTTTCAGTCTCTTGGCATTGTGCATAGGCAGTCTTGCGCCTATACGCATGAGCAGAATGGCCGAGTAGAGCGCTGGAATAGGCATATTGTCGAAACCGGGTTAGCTTTGCTCGCGCACAGCTCAGTCCCTATCAAACACTGGGATGCCGCGTTTGAAATAGCTTCCTATCTCATAAATTGTTTACCATCGTCTGCACTCAAAAATTTTGTCGGTCCATATGAGTCTGTCTATAACAAAACTCCACCATACACTTTCCTGTGCGTGTTTGGGTACAGATGTTACCCTTATCTACGGCCCTACAACCGCCATAAGATAGAGTATCGTTCTGCACCCTGTGTCTTCCTAGGCTATCCTACGTCTTATAGGGGGTAACGATGCATGGACCCAGTATCTGGGAAGACCTTTATCTGTCGCCATGTCAGGTTTGACGAAAGTGTGTTTCCCTATGCCACAGGTTCACACGAGCAAGGCGGGATTGCGAGCACTCCGTATGTCGTCCCTTGGGCGTCAAGTCCCATAATCTCGCGGTCACAAGTTGCACCGCTTAATGAGTTACCGCTGGCGGTCCAAGTGCCACCATTAGCAATACAACAGGAGCCGACCGACAAAGTGGTCCCACGGCGTAGGCCCCGAGTCCGGGGCCGAGCCATGGCACAACCCCAGGATCGGGGTCATGTCATGCGACTCTGACACATGACGTGAGGCACAGACGAGCCCTTTCAGGCTCTAACCGCCTCAACCGATCCGACCTGTTACACTTAGGCCGTAGCACACCCACAGTGGAGGGATGCTATGGATCAGGAATTTAATGCACTGCTGCATAATAATACATGGTGTCTCACCTCGGCCAAGCCTGGTATGAATGTAGTGGGCTGCAAGTGGGTCTATCGCACCAAACGGAAGGCCGATGGTGCCATAGAGCGTTACAAAGCTCGCTTAGTGGCAAAGGGATTCAATCAAGTCGCTGGTGAGGACTTCTTTGAAACCTACAGTCCAGTGGTCAAGCCAACCACGGTTCGCATATTGCTCGCCCTTGCTATATCTCAGGGCTGGACTATGCAACAACTGGATGTTCATAATGCTTTCTTAAATGGACATTTGGCAGAAACAGTCTATATGCGACAGCCGCCGGGGTATGAGGACTCAACCCATCCGGATTATGTCTGCCGTCTACAACAGTCTCTTTATGGTCTTAAACAGGCTCCACGTGCCTGGTTTAAGCGGTTACGTGATTTTCTTTTGACTACAGGTTTCGTGGCGTCTAAAACTAATGTCTCGCTTTTTTACTACACACGAGGCACGTCACGGGTTTACCTGCTTGTTTATGTGGACGATACCATCATGCTTGGCAACGACACATAACTACTGCTATCTCTCCTTAACCAGCTATCTACCACTTTCAAGATCCGAGACTTGGGCACTCCAACTTTCTTCCTCGGCATTGAAACTATTCCGGTGAAAGACAGTGTTCTACTTTCTCAGCGTCGTTACATGGCCAATATTTTGACTCGCGCGGGTATGACTGCAAACCTCTGTCCACTCCAGCTGCGGTCACACAAGCCATATCTCCGGTCACGAGCCCATATGAGAACCCTACTCAGTATCGTCGGTTAGCTGGGGGCCTACAGTATCTGACTATCACGCGTCCGGACCTATCGTACGCCGTCAACAGGCTCTGTCAGTTCATGCACACTCCGACTAATGAGCATTGGGGTTTGCTTAAACGGGTTCTTCGGTATGTGAAGGGCACAGAAGCATATGGTCTGAAGCTATCTTCATCACTGTCCTCCGACATCCATGCTTACTCGGACTCGGACTGGGCTGGGTGTCTGGTAAATCGCAAGTCCACCAGTGGTTAGGTCTTCCACCGAGGCTGAGTATAAGGGTCTAGCCGATTATGAATTGAAATCGTGTGCGCCTTGCATGGTGCACACGGTTGCACAGCATAACATTCCGCAAAATTCACAAGTCTTGTTTGAAGGAACAAATACGGCAAATTATATCGTGCACCGCGGTGCATAATTGATTATGCACCGCGCATCAAAACGACGTCGTTTTGTTTAATGAAAAGAAACGACATCCGTTTTCCACCGTTCTGCATTCTTCCTCAAAAAATAACTCTATTATTCAGTTTCATTTTGTACACACTGCAGTTTCAGTTCAACACAACTACAGTTTCAGTTCAACACAACTACAGTTTCATTTCGATATAACTACAGTTTCATTCGATATTTATAGACTCAAATATGTGAAAATGTTATTTAATTTTATTTTATATACACTATAGTTTTATTAAAACACAACTACATGATCCCAGCTTCATTTTGATATAATTACAGCTTCATTGTACAATATAAACTCAAATATGTAAAATGTTATTCAGTTTCATTTTATATACACTGTAGTTTCATTTCACCACAACTACAGTATCATTTTGCAATAACTGCAGTTTCATTTGATAATATAAAAATAATACGTGAGGCAATGTCGGTTTAGATATACTGTAGTATCAGTTGGTAATTAACATATAAAAAGATGCGCAATCCATTAATACTAACGGCGCGCCGCTTCTTTTCTAAAAAAAAAACGGCACCATTTTAATCGCGGTGCACGTGCATTGTGGTCCACGATATAACGACCCAACAAATACCGTCTCTGCATTAAACCCCACATAAGTTGAATGCCTTAGCATTTGGGTTTAAAGTATTAGGATTTCCACTAGATTGGCCCAAATTAGGCCCCTTAAGAATTTTAGAACTAGCATCTAAAAGGCAAATTATGATGTGGACATGAGTCCAAAACGGCGTCGTTTTATGGGAAAACGCGGCCTTCCAGTTAAAAAAACAAAATTTTGATTTTGTCTCGCCGTTATTCGTTTGTGGCATTATGAATGTACAGTTATGCAATTATGAATGTACAGTTATGCAATTATGAATGTAAGTTATGAAGTTATGAACACAGAGCTATGACATTATGAACTTACAATTATGAACATAGAGATCTAAAATTGTGAACATAGAGCTCTAAAATTGTGAACATAGAGTTTCGAAAATTATGAATTTACAGTTATTGAATTATGAATGTACAGTTACGGAATTATGAATGTACAGTTATGCAATTATGAACACAGAGCTCTGACATTATGAACTTACAATTATGAACACATATACTCCTATAACAAAGTGGTCTGAATGAAAAAAAAAAAAAAAAAAAAAAAAAAAGGTGGAAAGGAACGGTGCCTAACGGCACCGTTACCGTCTCCAGCATGCATGCTGGACACGGGTCCATAGCATAACGATTGCATCTAAAAATAGGCAAATTATTGTATGGACCATGATCTACACATTGCTTTGTAAATCATTAAAAAAAAATATTTTTTTAATATACTAAAAGTACTGAATGTACATTATACAAAATCAGAAAATGGGTCAAATTGTCTCCCTAAGTCAACGGGATAGTGCAGTTGGGTCCTCTAAGTAAAAAAAAGTTTCATTCAGATCTCCTAATTCAGAAAAAAATTGTTCAATTAAGTCTAAATTGACGTGTTTAGAAGGTCAATTCATCGTAAGTTTGACACGTGTTTTTTGAAGGAGACTATACAATAATCTTGAGGAAATTGATTACCAATCTTTGTGAATAGGAGGAGTTCACATCTGCAACAAGAGTTTTATCTAAAGGCAAGAGAGATCTTGCAGCACGAGGGAGTCGTGTTCTCAATTCCCTAGTTGTTACTCAAAGAGCAATGACAAAAGATCAAGTTTCGTACTTCCTTGTATAAGCTTCTATGTCTTATGTAATTAAAAATGCATAGCAAATTGAGCTTCATTCTAAGCTACCTAAGGCCTCATGGATTCAACGAAATAAACCATGCTAAAAATCTTGGTGTCTCAATTTTGTTGGTTTAAGTAATGAGCTCGGGAAGCAATGATAGTCGGTCGGAAGTTCCCGAGTAAGTAATGGGTAAGTGAAAGTCCAAAAGTTCCTCCGCCAAACAATAAATATGTTATTTATAGGGGTCAAGAGGGGATAAATGGCGGACACACGACATGCATGCCACGAGTTCCATATGCACTCGGAGGCCGCATAGAGGCATCCACGTGTTGTAAGATGCCTGAGCAACCAAAAGCCAAGTGTCATTGCTTATTTGTCCTTCAGGGTAGAAGTACACAATGGCTCGTGGATTATGGGTCTGTCTCTGGCCAGGTCGGAACTGGATAATATCAGATGGAATTGATCCTCATGGGATATATACCAAGCAAGTATATAGTCACGTGTCCGATGAATATTTCCCAATAAATTCTTAGTTTTCTCCTAAAAATTTGTTCTCATGTGGATAAGTTGTAGTCATAAAAACCAAGGGATCAACGGCCAGGATTGAAAATCAAGGCTAAAAAGTAAGAGTAGACTTGAAACGTATAATACTTTATAGCTAAAATGTACTCATACTTTTCTATGGACCCATAAAAAATAATTTAAAAAATGCCAAAACCTAATAGAAAAACTGAACTTTGTGCTAACATAAAAATCAAGAGATAGCAAGTCTAAAATCAATGACTAAATTTGAAAATCTCATTATAAATAACTAAAAGTGTTATCTTTTCTCTCCATTTTATGACCAATAAAACTCAATCTTTAATGGTGTTGTCTGTTGGGTGGGTCAAAAAGCTATTGTTTCTTGCCTTCCTATCAAATCTAAAACTGTAGTTTGAAAATTTTACAGAAATTGTAGTCGGAAACAAAGATCAAACTGAAGGCTCTCGTATTGATGTTGGCAAGTTTAGTTCCGATTCAAACTCACCAAGAGGGGCAAAGAAGGATTCAACCATGTCCTTCGTAACTTCTTCCAATCGCGGTGGATCCCACTGAAAATTTATTCCGAGATATCAATTAGGCATTCGCTAAGTATTCATTTCTAATTCGGGAAAATAAACGACGAGAGATCAATGCTGAAAATATTATGTAAAAAAACATGACAAATTGTGGCCGAGTAACCGTGGATCATTCAATACCTTTGGACTGAAATCCTTGTCGATCAATCTAGCACGAACACCCTGCATTAAATGGAGATAATGACATTATTGCAAGTTAATGCACGATCGTTCTAATAAACTTCATAACATTTAGGAGCGAGAGATAGAAGTACGTGCCTCACAGAAATCGCCAGACACCTGTTTTGAAATCCAGTTCAGGGATACGCGATATTCGCGTGCCAGGCACTGATCAAGTGATTGAAATCTCCCTTCTCTAATCTAAAGTTCGGCACCAAAACTTTATAATTTTGAATAATAGAAAAAAAAAATTTACAAAATAAAAATGAAAAGGAATAAAAGCTTACTGAATTCAAAGTGATTAAAAACGCGCGTCCTACTTTTAAAAAAAAAAAATCAGGTTCGACTCTCAGCAATAGCATTATTGTGGATATATAGTTATGAAATTGTGGATATATAGTTATGAAATTGTGGTTATATAGTTATGAATTTATGGATATTTAGTTCATTCATTGTGGATATTTAGTTCAATCATATATTGTGGATATTTAGTTCATTCATTCATTTATTGTGGATTTTTACTTCATTCATTCATTCATTGTGAATTTTTACTTCATTCATTCACTGTGGATATATAGTTATGAAATTGTGGATATATAGTTATGAAATTGTGGTTATATAGTTATGAATTTATGGATATTTAGTTCATTTATTGTGGATATTTAGTTCAATCATATATTGTGGATATTTAGTTCATTCATTGTGGATTTTTACTTCATTCATTCATTCATTGTGGATTTTTACTTCATTCATTCATTCGTTGTGGATTTTTACTTCATTCATTCACTGTGGATATACAGTTATGAAATTGTGGATATATAGTTATGAAATTGTGGTTATATAGTTATGAATTTCTGGATATATAAAAATGCTATTGCCGGGAATCGAACCTGATTTCTTTTTTAAGTGGGACGCGCGTTTTTTTAACCAAAACGGCGCTGTTTTGCAACCGTATGCACCTTGCAAGGTGCATTCGGTTGCACAGCATAATTTGCGCACCTATAGTGACCAAGCCTCCTCTAGCGCCCACCACATTACCGAGCTCCACTGCGCCCTTAGCACGCTCAAATCACTCGACATATCCATCATCATTAAAGTCAACATCAAAGTCTAAAAATCCAAAGCTCGGCTCATAATCAGAATTTGAACTCGGATCCGCTGAATGAAGTTCCAACGTGATCCTCGAACTGAGCAAGCCCTTCAAGTCCTAATAGACTAGTCGTTATAGACCTCAACAATGCCAACTGGTCCAATGTCTTTATGTGCAAGGTATGGCAAAATTCCCAAGTCTTGTTGGAAGGAATCGATACCGTCTCTGCATTAAATACGGATAGTTATGCTGTGCACCATGCATGGTGCATACAGATGTAAAAACGACGTCGTTTTATTAAAAATGCGCATCCCACTTAAAAAAAAATTAGTTTCGATTCTCCTCAACAGCATTATGTTGTTCATTCATTCTGGAATTTTAGTTCATAGATTCTGGAATTTTAGTTCATTGATTCTAGATTTTTAGTTCATTGATTCTGGATTTTTAGTTCATCGATTCTGGAATTTTAGTTCATCGATTCTGGAATTTTAGTTCATAGATTCTGGAATTTTAGTTCATCGATTCTGGAATTTTAGCTCATTGATTCTGGATATATAGTTTAAATTATGCACAATATAATGTTGTTGCTGGGAATCGAAATTGAATTTTTTTTTTTTAAGTGAGACGCGCGTTTTTAATAAAACGACGTCATTTTTGCATCCGTATGCACCACGGATGCACAACATAATTTGCCATTAAATACACAGAAGTTGAATGCCTTAGCATTTGGGTTTAAAGTAGTAAGATTGCAACTAGATTGGCCCAAATTTTGTATTGACAATAGTCAACACAATGCCAGTTGTTATATTATAGACCGCGGTGCATAATCGATTATGCACCGCGGCCCATATACGGCGCCGTTTCTTTAAGTAAAGAAACGGCCCGCCGTTAGAGTTAACGGAGTCCGTTTGTTTGGTGTATTAAACACCAACTGACACTACAGTATATCCAAACCGACACTGCAGTTATATCAAAATGATACTGTAGTTATAGTGAAATGAAACTGCAGTGTATATAAACTGAAACTGAATAACATTTCACATATTTGAGTGTATATTGTACAATGAAGCTGTAATTATATCAAAATGATCATGTAGTTGTGTTTTAATAAAACTATAGTGTATATAAAATAAAATTAAATAACATTTTCACATATTTGAGTCTATAAATATCGAATGAAACTATAGTTATATCGAAATGAAACTGTAGTTGTGTTCAACTAAAACTGCAGTGTGTACAAAATGACACTGAATAACAGAGTTACTTTTTGCAAAAGGGTGCGAAACGGCGGAAATAAACACTGTTAATTTTCATTTAAAAAAAAAAGACGCGCGGTGCATAATCGATTATGCACCGCGGTGCATAATATAATTTGCCACACAATGCTATGTGAATCATTAAAAAAAATACATTTTTAATATACTAAAAGTACTGAATGTATATACATTATACAAAATCAGAAAAATGGTCAAATTGGCTTCCCAAGTCAATCAGATAGTGCAATTGGGTTCTCTAAATAAAAAAAAAAATGAAAAAAAGGTTTCATTCAAATCGCCTAAATCGGACAAAAATGTTCAATTAAGTCCAATATGACTTGTTTAGAAGGTTAATTCATCGTAAGTTTGACATGTGTCTTTTTTTAAAGGAGACTACACAATAATCTTGAGGAAATTGGTTACCAATCTTTGTGAATATATAGGAGTTCATATCTGCAATAAGAGTTTCATCTAAAGGCAAGAGAGATCTTGCAGCACGAAGGAGTCGTGTTCTCAATTCCTAAGTCGATCGTTACACAAAGAGCAATGATAAGTGTTCAAGTTTCGTACTTGCTTGTATAAGCTTCTATGTCTTATGTAATTAAAAATGTATAGCGAATTGAGCTTCATTCTAGGCTAGCTAAGGCCCCATAGATTCAAACACGTCAAAATCTTGATTCTCAATTTTGTTTATGCATTTTAATCTATATGTTCTTTTTCACTTCATGATTTATTATCACATGTAATCAAATATTTGGGACTACTTAATTATCCTAATTGAGATAAAGCAAACATAGGGATATGGATAATGATACCGAGAGTCATCATAGTCTAAGGTAATTTAACTTGATTATTTTTAAAACAATATTTCATGACACAAACAATCTGCACAATACTTAATACTCACTGAAGTTCACATAATTGATCTAGGACTAAAATTTATTAATCTATAAATACCAAAGCCTAAGGTTTCTTCAAATTTCAAAGAAAATTATATGCTGGTTAGGCTTGGCTAGAGTATTGACAAATATGCTTTTTCAAAAGCTTCAGAGCATGTTCAGCATTTGAATAGTTGAATAGCTCTTTGTTGTCATGCAGAGATTTTATGTGAATTTCTTTATTTTTTTCTATTCCAACGTTTAAAAAGAAAGAATAAAATAAATAAATAAATCGGTAGATAAGAACTTTATCCTAAACAAATTTAAACGAATTGAAAATGCACCATATACATTAGTCAGGTTAAACACAAGAATACTCTTTCGTGAAGCAAAAACCTTTCAAGTAAAGCCGTCAAAATGGGCTTAGCCTGACGGACTAGTCCGTCCCGTCCCGCCAAAAAGACGAGGCGGGCTTTGAATTCTATGGCCCGTAATTTAATGGGTTTTTTAGTCCACCCCGCCAAAACGGCAGGCTTTTGATCAAATTTGTCGATGTTAGCGTTCAAGTTTGCATAGTAAAGTTTGTAATAAGTACGAAATGCCACCGCATTTTTGGTTCTTATTTCTCTTCTAAAGGTTGAGGCGTCCACATGCTGTAAGATGCCTAAGCGGCCCCGGGCCAAGTGCCGTTGCTTATTTGCCCTTTTGGGTAGAAGTACTCGAGCTCAGGGGAGTCATTACGAACTACAAGGTCGAGATCGAGCCCATGGTATTATACAATGGCTCATATACTAGATTATGGGTCTATATCTCTACTCGAGTCAGGTTGGAACCAAATAATGTTGGATGAGGTCAGGAATTGCTCCTCATGGCATACGGGATAAATACCAAGCATGTATACAGTCACGTGCCCAATGAATATTTCCCATCAAATTTTTAATTTTCTCTTAAGAACTTATTCTCATATGGACAAATTGTAGCCACAAAAACTAAGGGATCAACGGCCAAGATTGAAAATCAAGCCTCTTAGGTCTCCCTCTTAACCTTTCCGCCTAATTCTTCCAAAGAAAAACTAAACTTTGTGCTAACATAAAAAATCAAGAATTCAAGACATAGCAAGTCTAAAATCAATGACTAAATTTCAAAATCTCATTATAAATAACTAAAAGTGTATCTTTCCTCTCCAATTTATGACCAATAAAACTCAATCTTTAATGGTGTTGGCCTGTTGGGTGGGTCAAAAAGCTATTGTTTCTTGCCTTCCTATCAAATCTAAAACTGTAGTTTGAAAATTTTACAGAAATTGTAGTCGGAAACAGAGATCAAACTGAAGGCTCTCGTATTGATGTTGGCAAGTTTAGTTCCGAATCAAACTCACCCAGAGGGGCAAAGAAGGATTCAACCATGTCCTTCGTAACGTCCTCCAATCGTGGTGGATCCCACTGAAAATTTATTCCGAGATATCAATTAGGCATTCGCTAAGTATTCATTTCTAATTCAGGAAAATGAACGAGACGAGAGATCAATGCTGAAAATATTATGTAACTTATTGGCATTGCCATTTGTATGGACTGAGAAAACGTGGATATCATTCAATACCTTTGGACTGAAATCCTTGTCGATCAATCTAGCACGAACCCCCTGCATTAAATGGAGATAATGACATTGCAAGTTAACGCACGATCATTCTAATAAACTTCGTAACATTTAGGAGCCAGATATAGAAGTACGTGCCTCACAGAAATCACCAGACACCTGTTTCGAAATCCAGTTCAGGGATACGCGATATTCACGTGCCAGGCACTGATCAAGTGATTGAAATCTCCCTTCTCTAATCTAAAGTTCGGCACTGAAACTTTATAATTTTGAATTATAGAAAAAAATTTTACGAAATAAAAATGAAAAGGAATAAAAGCTTACTGAATTCAAAGTGACTTTCAAGCTTAACGGAGATGCTGCTTTTATCTTTTTAAGAGTTGTAGCACACCATTCATCGTATGACTCAGTTGTCTCGTTTTCCTGAATGAATCATTTTTGCACATTTCTATTTACCACAAAATGGATATTGGCTAAAAGAAGTGCAAGAAATTACAAAATGCTAACAAACCCGTATCCGAAGGGGCAGGGAATATGGACAAGAAGACAATAACCCAATAAGTTTCCTGAGAAGGACCGAACCCTTCTCATATGTTGAACATTTAAGCAATTAAAAAAATTTCTCTACATTTCATCTCTATAGTACAATTTCAGCCTTACCAGAGCTTCAATAATTTCCTCAACCGTGTCTGGACTAAAGCATTTATCAATCATTTCAAACCTGAAAAAATATAACAACCATGGAGTCATGGACATTGAAACATGTGCTCCATCTCAACTAAAAGCCTAAGCTGATAGTTGGATACACATTAATGGTTATATGCTCACAATGGACTTAAAGATGAAAAACAATCTCATAACACAGTTTAGTAGGGAAAATGGTCAAATAAGCCCTCGAACTTTAGCTGAAAAGTCAATTAGCCCCCTAAACTTCTTAAAGGTGCAATTACACCCATCAACAATTTATTTTGATGCAATGAAGCCCAAAAACCGGTTAATGAACTGCTATCACAAGTCATTAGGGTTCCGGCAACCCGCCAGTGAGATTCCGGCGAAAGGTATTCGCAGTCACTTTGTTGCCTGAAATTTCGCCGGAATCTCGCAGGCGGGTTGCTGGAACCCTAATGACTTGTGATAGCAGGTCATTAACCAGTTGTTGGGCTTCATTGCATGATTTGCATCAAAATAAATTGTTAATAAGGTGTAATTGCACCTTTAGAAAGTTTAGGGTGCTATTTGACTTTTCAACTAAAGTTCAAGGGGCCTATTTGACCCTTTACCCTAATTTAGTATAACCTATTAAAAATTTTAAATGATGAATGTGAACCAGTTCTAGTTAATATGTTTGTGAAGGGTATCAATGCAAACTTACTGCATTGGAGAAGAAATTCAAAGATTGAATAGACCGTGTGTAAAATTGGGATGCAAAAAGTCGAAAATATGTTTGGATGAATAGGTTGAAGCATGTTGAATTAAAGATAGGACATTACTTGTGAAGCACGCTTCTCCTATCTGGATAAACAAGGTCCCCATATTGAGCAAGAGAATTTTCAATAACAGAACGATCGTCTGTCATCAATTTACCAAGCCGTTCTTCAATCCAGGGAAGCCTCTGTAAGATGCGAATATCAGCAGTGCAATCTTTAAGAACATAAATTTCAGTAATATACAATGCACATAATGTAATACTAACTTCTTTTAATACATAGTGTGTTGCAAGACCGCAGGCAATCATTTCTACACCGTTAAGCTTTTCTCCCGTTAAAGCCAAATATTCACCTGCAAATGTAGGTGATGGCACCTAGAAACTTTATAACATAACCAAAGTAAATTTAAAATAAAATAGAATAGAAGTTGGAGATTGAACTGGAAAATATTTAGAAAATCATAGCGTAATTCCTCATCTAAGGTAGCTTATTAATCAGTTAAACCCGATATAGAAGATATTGATTGTTTTCCAAACATTACCTAAGTAGCCAGGAAGACGAGGAAGATAGTATGAGGCCCCACCATCAGGATGAAACCCTATTTGAGATTCTGGGGAAGAATAAATCTGTAATTATATTCAAAACATTCAAACATCATCAGAACCAAAATAATTAATAATCAAACAACAAAGAAATCTGCTACCATTTTACGGATCTAGGAAATGGTTACATACAGTTCTATCAGTCGCGACGCGAAACATTCCAGGAAGTGCAATACCTGCCCCACTTCCCATCGTGACACCATCTAAGATAGCAACCTGTAGAAATGATCCACAGAAGGATGAAGTATATAAAAAACAATACTTAACAGATCAAGAAGGGTATGAGCACGAAGATGCAAAGAAATACATATTATTGGTTAAGAGATTTTCTATTCTCCTATCCATCAAGTTGTTGAATTTTTACAGAACAAAATATTCAGCCAATCATGCTAGAAAAATTATACGATTCACATAGGCACTTAATATTGGCAGTACATATCAATGTAAGACAAAATAATGACATCACGACATAATAGAAAGCTGATAGAAGTTAAACTCTTCCATTTTTGAAGCTTCAGCAGGGAAACAAAGTCAAGTGTAAATGTCAAAAAATAAATATGAATCAAAAATACTCACATTCGGCTTCAGATATGTTCCTAAAAGGTAGACAAAATTATACAGTGTCTGGAAGAAAATTTTGCATTCCTCAACCTTCCCTGCAAAGAGATCATTGTTATAAAAGTGTTATGTATTCTTTAATAAGTACACTATTCTAAATTGTTAAGTATATGAAGAAGAAGTTCGTATTCTAGGTGAAGGAAGAAGAATAAAATTCTTAGACATCACAAAGAGAACTAAAAAAATCTAAACTTGAAAAGTTTAAGATTCTTTAAACAAATTCAAAAGCTGAAAATCCTTCGACTTAACAGTATTAACAGATAAAACGAGAAACAGAAACAAGAATTTCAGCCAAAAAGATCAGATACATTAAGTGTGCAAACTGCAAAGCAAACCTTCATTAATCAACTGATGAAGCGTAACAACATCAGCTCCAGAACAGAAAGCTCGATCATTCCCCTGTGGCAAATGTAAGTGAAAACATAAGACCATTTCCAACTTTCCCATTCAACACTATCCATTTAACATTTAAAACCAAAAACTAATGTTTAAGAAGAAGAAAAATGGCTCCTTTTTTTATGCCACATTGCCCTGTACTACCTTCATAACAACAAATCCAATTTCAGAGTTCTCCTCCCACGAGTTATACAATCTATTCAAGCGAGCCACCTTCAATCCAAGAAAACACCACTTTTAAGTTCATGTGCAGTATAGCATTACAGAACAACCCAGAAAGAGAGAGATCGTGTATCAAACCATAGAGCTAGTGAGAGAATTGAGTGCAGAAGGTCTATTGAGTATTGCTGCTCTTGATTTCGCCCTTCCTTCAACTAAAACCTATGATGAAAACCAAAAATATTTTTTAAAAATAAATAAATAAATAAAGAGTAACAACATTTCTGCATTTCAATAAATTTTATGTAATTTATGTATAAAAAAAAAATTGAAACTTTTTTTTTTTACTTTATGAGCCAACTACAGAAAAACAATATAAAACAAAACAAAAATCAGAAGTAATCTCAAAACACAAACAAGGGTTCATATGTAGACTTAAATGTATGCAAATGAGAGAGGACCTGGTCTTGAAGATAATCGTGTTGGGTGTAGCTCGGAAGAGCAGAAAAGCTTCTGTTTTGGTGAGAATAGAGAAATCCATGCCTTTGCTTAGAACATCGACTCAGTAATTGTAGAGTTTTCAATCCTATTCCTGGCATTCTCCCTCTCTCTCTCTCTCTCTCTCTCTCCCCCTATCTCTCTCGCGTCGCCGTGGGTGCGTTGCGGCTACTGAGCTTTTCAATGGCAGTCTAGTCTGCGCTTCCAATTTCTCCTGCGAAGTGCGAAATACTGAAGTTGGGGAATTTAGCTTATAATTGCAACTTAGCCCTTAAAACTTCAGAATTTAGGTGTTTGCCGCTATATTTTTAACAATTTATATTATAGTCGCTTGAACATGTGATAACTTTCAATGGCACCATCCACGGATTTTCATTAGACTTTTTTGAAATAAGGGTTGAATAGGCATCGAATTACACACGAAAATACAATTAGGTTATTGAACTCAAAAAATATGTAATTAGGTCTTTGAGCAATACAAGATAATACAATTAAATTTAAAGTGACTTGTTTTACTTGTTAATTTGATGACGTGAAGGTTATAATATTAAAATAATAAATATTTATTTTATTAAATAATATTAAATAACAAAATTATTATTAAAAAAATAAAAAAAAAATGACTCCGTCTCCTGTCGGAGATGAATCCGGCAGTTCAAAGACGAAGAGGGTATCTTCGTCTCCGGCATGGTCCCTTCGTCTCCAGGCTGTCGGAGACGAAGTCGTTTCCTTTTTTTATTTTGTTATTTAAAATTATTTAATAAAATAAAAATTTATTATTTTAATATCATAACATCCATGTCAGCAAATTAATTAACAAGTAAAACATGTCACTTTGGATTCAATTGCATCATTTTGTGTTGTTCAATGTTCAGGAACCCAATTGTATTTTTTTTTTAGTTCAATTGCCTAATTGCATTTTTGTGTATATTTCGATGGCCTATTTGGCTATTATTTCGAAATTTTTTTTGGTCTCATGACTCATATATATATATATATATATATATATATATATATATATATATATATATATATATATATACTAATAAGAGCCCAAGAGAGTTAGGCCTATAATGGGTAGAAAAAATGGCGGTCACAAATTTTAATCAAATGAATGGCTCAGATTGATTAAAAGATTGATCAGATTTAAATTTTACACTAAAATTTCCTAAAATACCCACACACCGTTACTAATTCCGTTAAAATTTTAAGAATTGACGTTAGTTCACCGTTAACTTACTCATTGATTTCAATAAAAAAAAAAAAAAAAAAAAAAAAAAAAAAAAAAAGATCTTAGGTTCGAACCTCATCCCAATCAAAGTTGGCATAATTAGTACTCTATTTTACTCTTATTAAATTATATAAATAATAATTTAGTAGTTACAACAAAAAATAATACATATGCATTTCTTTAATTTAGAATTATGTGTCCACAATGCCTTTATTGAAAAAAAATTATTCATTATCAATAAATTAAATAAGAGAAATAATTTTATTAGTTATATTGTCTTTATTTTTCTTCAATATAAAAATTCTTTATATTCAAATTTATTGATTGATTATATTCGCTACATTATCTTTACAATGTCTTTATTTAGTGAAAAAAAAAATTATTAATTATCAATAAATTAATTAAAAGAAATATTTTCATTAGTTATATTGTCTTTATTTTTCTCAAATGTAAAAATTTTTACATTCAAATTCATCAATTGATTATATTCACTACATTATCTATTATCTTTTTTGTGCACTATTTTTCTAATTAAATATCAAAGTTATAATACAAAATAATGCTATATATTTATTTACCAAGTATTTTATTAATACCATGAAAAAAATTTTAAAAATATAATTAATAAAGCCAACCATATTAACTACTTGAGAGATTTTGCGACAAAGAGAGTATTCAAATCACACAACAAATTGAAGTGAGAACTACCTCGCAATGTCCTTGTTTGACAATCAGCAGTTAGCGGTTAGCGTTAGCGGATTTGACCAGCGAATTTATTTAATTATTAACATTGGGTAGAAAAATGACCGCCAAATTATTAAATCAAATGAATGGTTCATATTGTTCAGGTTTTAATTTTTTTCTTTTAAGATTTTCTAATTTATCCATAATTATATGATTATCCATTTAACTTTTCCGTTAATTCACCGTTAGTCTAATTATAATATTAAAGTCTAATATAGAATTATAACTACACCATTAATCTAATTCTAATATTAAAGTCTTAATAGAACTTAACCACAAATCCTAATGTCGGAATCTCCTCAAACAATATTAGTATATATTTAATATTTTATGCCCTAATTTTTATTTGTTCTCCCTTATGTCCCGTATTTGGTTTCAACCATACCTATACAATTATTTTATTGACAATTATAATCAATATTGACTATATTATCTTGCATTTGTAAACTTAGTGGGTAGTATTTGGGAGAAGGGACCAAGGTTTGAACCTCGGCGGCGGCAGTGCGGGAATTATGTCCAAAGTGGGCAGATTCCTTGTGCGTATCAGCATTTGGCCCTGTCTGTTGAACCATTGAGTCACCGTGATTTACAACTTCCCACAATGCTCTGTCGGGTCGGAGTGTGGGGGGCCCTTGGGGTTGGGGACTCAACCTTTGGGCTTTGGGAGAAGAATTACCTATTTAAATATGCAAATTCAACCTTCAATTATCTATGCATGAATAATTTCAATATAATCCTGCCTTAATATACTTTAAAGTACTTATTTAAAAAAAAAAAAAAAAAAGAAGCATTGAGCATTATCCCAATCGCGCAATGCGCGTAAAAAACTAGTATATATATATATATATATATATATATATATATATATATATATATATATATATATATATATATATATATATATATATATATATATATATATATATATATATATATATATATATATATATATATATATATATATATATATATAGGGATGCACTCAGGTGCGAATAAGTGCTCAGGAGGGAAATGCGAACGAATCAGTGCGCGACACGTGTCCATATCGAATAACTTTAAAAAAAACGCGGTGGCATTTTCGTAAATAATTGAACATCGAAGTGCAAGTAAAATCACTTACAAGTGCACCTACTTTCACCTATAAGTGCATGTAATTTTGCCTTGTTAGCATTCACTTTCCTCAAACATTCATGCACATGAGTGTGCTTATAACTATATGTGCAACTATTTATAACTATAGGTGCAACTACTTATAACTATAGGTGCACCTACTTTCAGCTATAAGTGCATGTAATTTTGCCTTGTTAGCATTCACTTTCCGCAAACATTCATGCACCTGGGTGTGCTTATAACTATCTGTGCAACTATTTATAACTATAGGTGCAACTACTTATAACTATAGGTGCACCTACTTTCACCTATAAGTGCATGTAATTTTGCCTTGTTAACATTCATTGATCTGAGTTCAGCGGGTAGTAATACCCCTGAAAACCACTCGCAAACATTCATACACCTAGGTGCAACTACTTATAACTATGTGTGCAACTACTTAGAACTATAGATGCAACTACTTAGAACTATAGGTGCAACTAAGTATTGATGCTCAGTGTAAATTTTTACTTGCACCTATAATACATTTTACATGCACTTGTAATACATTTTACTTGCACTTCGATGTTCAATTATTTACGAAAATGCCACCGCGTTTTTTTAAAAAAAATCAGTGTTTCTCATCCATTAGATCTGGACACGTGGACGAACAGAATTCATTCCTATTTCGCGCCTGGGCGAAGCATTCGCACCTGAGTGCGATTATATATATATATATATATATATATATATATATATATATATATATATATATATATATATATATATATATATATATATATATATATAAGCGCTCATATGTGGTCATGTCATTAGGTGTGGTCGTGTGGTCGTATCTGTGTCGTTGAATCAGTTTAATCTAACGGCAGTGGTAATTCTGAGAATTTTCCCGCGTTTTGGTAAGTGGGGTGTTATGGTAATTACAGTGGCCATTTATAGCGGGCGGGTTCCAGAATACACCAACAATATTGACAACATACACCAATAGTGTAATAAAACACACCACAGTGAAACACACCAATGATGTATTCCCGTGTTATGGTAATTACAATGACCATGTATAGCGGTCGGCTTCCAGAATACACCAACAGTGTTGACAACATGCACCAATAGTGTAATAAAATACACAACAATGTGATTTCCTCTATTTCGGTGTTTTATGACTAGTTTACCCTTGCAGTTCGCTGGGTAGGAGAATGTGCGCGAAAATACTGAAAAAATCTTGATTAACATGATTCATTGGATCTATCTAATCTAATGGCCTATAATTGACCATATGACCACACCTAACAACATGACCACATGTGATCACTCCTATATATATATATATATATATATAGGCGGGTTCAGGTGCGGCAGTGTCTTACGGTGCGGTTATTTCTTACGGTGCGGCAACACCAATAGTTCACCAAATATGCACCATCAACGTTAGGAAATACACAACACAAAACAGAGTAAACAGAGCCCTGCATCACCAAACACACACCATTAGGTGTTAGTAAAAACACCATACACTGTTCGGAAATACACCATTGGGGGTGGTGAGTTATATGGTGTGTTTTTTTGAGTCTGTGGTGTATTTTGTGATGTTTTATTACATTTCATTGGGGTGTGTTTTTATTACACTGTTGGTGCATATTGTTAACACTGTTGGTGTATTCTGGAATTTGACCGCACCGCCGCACCGTAAGACCCCGCCGCATATGAGCGCTCTTCTATATATATATATATATATATATATATCAAACCACAATCTCTTTCTTTCAATTTATTTTGTTCTCATGATATATCTAATTGATGAATATATTGAATCTAACCAAGAATTTTAGACCCAACAAACTTTGTCCAAACCGGGAATGCCAATCTCGGAGTTAGCCTATGAGTGTTGGATTGGGTCAGTCCAATGATAAAGGGCCAGGTCAACACATAGGTTGGATAAATGGAGTCAACCGATAGACATTACAATAGTTATATATAAGTCGGGCCGGCATGTGGAGAGCTCTTAGGATTGGGGTTCAACCTTTTGGAAGAATAGTTATATACAAGTACACACTTTGCTTACGAAACGTTTGGATCGTGATTCGTGTGAGTGATTCTAAATGAGCCATTAAGTTTATTCTATCTACTAA